TTCTTTTTTTTTGTTAATTATTTAACTATTTAGAACGTTAAATTTTGCTAGTGACAAATCTTATTCTTTAGAAAAAAAAGAATACTATCGGACATTGTACAAATATGTTAGGGTATATTGTTCTAAGAACACTTCTTACCAATGATTTTTTTCTTTTTTTTTTCACAAGATATTGTCTGTTTCTTTTGTTATTCTACGCATCTAGAATATGTAAAATAATCTTGATTACTAACAGTATATTTGGCAATAATGAATGGAAACTACGAATTATTGACAAGACTACTAAACAATATGACTTTTTGTGAGAGACTTATGTTTTATATACAACACAAATCTTTGCATTATGTTCTACTCGAACTATAATTTTCTTTTGTTTCAGTTGTGTTTTGAAAAATTGTTCGAATTCTGTCCAATGGCCTTTCATCAAAAAGATTAAAGTAATATCCTTGAAATTGTCGTTGAACTTAAATTACTTCTTTATTTAACAATTAATATGTCATACCTGATTTTCACGATATATATATTTGTTATATTCTGCCATCATTTCTAATAAAATTGGTATTTGTGCACAAAATGCATCATGCATTTCTTTTTCACTTTCCTAATCAAGAATACAAAAAGAAAGTTTTATGTTCTTTGAATATATTTTCAACTTTACATGTGGTAAAAGTTCAATAACTAAAAATTTATTTCGTTCATTGTCTACTTGTGAATCGATATCACTTGAATAAACTGCAGGTAATCCAATAAGGGCATCTAGGATAAGACAAATGCTTTATAAAAATTAATTTTACAAAGAAAAAAAAAAAAAAAGAAAAGTAAACCGACCAATTAAACTGACAAAGCCTTGTTTCCATGATCGTAAAGTTGCTTTAAAACTAAAACAATTCGAGATAATACGATCTAGAGCATATATTATTAACATATAAAGAGCCCATGATAATTCCTATAAATAAAATTCAAAAAAATATGGAAATTTAATACTTATTTTAAAAAAGACGAACTTTATAAAGCACTTCATTAGCTGGTTGTATGCCTGACTGAAGTAAGTTACTTAATCTCCATCGATGACGTTGACCAGGAAAATGAATACTATTTACTTCAAATTCTCTATATTAAACAATTTATAATAATCTTTTTCATTATTACAGAAAAATATTTCTTCATTTACCCTGTTTGTCGAACTGCTTTCAATTGTTCTTCATTTAATTTTAACGATGATCCATCTGGATTAGTTGATACAGCTTCAAGTTCGTTTAATGTTGGAGTTTGAAATAATGATTTAAATTCAATCTAAAAAATAACATTGACTACTCAATACACGTACAGTACATTATTTTTATCTACTTTATTTGATTCACTAGTTATACCAGTAATTGATGGTGGTAATGATATTTCAAATGTTTTACATTGTTCTAAATTTTTTTCTGCTTTCTGTTCAATAAAAATCAATATATAAATAAGACATCAAAGAATCGTTTTCTTTCTAATACTTCACGAATATAATTTTGTATATCAGCAATATCTGTTGAAACACCAGATGTTGGAGTATTAAAATGAATTGGTGTTGTCTTTTCATCATCAAAATAATTATTCTTACTAATAATAGAATAAAAAATTCAAATTCTTACCTCATATTTTGGCATGTGTATTGATACATGCTCAGTAGAATTTGCCATTGAAAACTTTTTTTTTTATAAGTGACAAACTTGTATTATTTTCTAAAAGAACAATAATAAAAAACTAAAAAAAAAAACCTGTAAACACATTAATGTGGGCAGGTGCACCTTCATCATTTAGCTATATATAGTTTCCTTCTCGTTTTATATTATTCATATGACTAAGACGAAAAAAAAACTCGTTTTTTTTATTGAAGGACTGAATAATAAGAAATACTGGCAACCACGTATATCATTACGTTGTGATTGAGTAATGACAATATAAAGAACGGATGAATAATCGAGTTGTTCTTGTTTGCGTTAAATTTTAAGCCTACATTGTTAAAAGCCATCAGACAAATGCCTCGATTTTCTTTCAAGTAGAAAGATAATGAGTTGAATAAAACATTCTAAAATACAATCTCACGAAAATATGTCTCAGACTCATCATCTAGTTGTCATCATTTGACTCCTCCTCATTTTTTTCTTGAATGTGTAAATATATATATACAAACATAAACAAGAAAAAAAACCACTGTTTACCTCGATGTGTGTATGTCAAACCGTCTTCAATCGGTGATGTGTAAAGTTAATGATGAAAAATGCGCGTGCTCTGTAAATGCCATTTTCATTCTTCTTTTTCTTGTCTATAGAATGAACGTGCTGATCGACATGTCGCCTAGTCTACAATCGATTGACATACACAAAATAGCACTAAAACGAGCAACAAGAATTATTCAAAAATTATGTGAACAATTAGGAATAAATATTCTGTCTGCGTCATGTGTGTTTCTTTGATATCAACTAATATCTTTTGTATACGATTGAAGTATTCTAATCCATAATCTAGTCAATTATCAATTTAAAAGAAAAATAAGATATCAATTTAAAGTAGTCATATTTTCAGGATGTATAGTTTCAGTCTACTATGCACTAACATAAGTGCTCATTTAAGATCTCCCCTCAAAAAAAGTCACTTTCTACCAAAATGATCAAAATTGACATAAATTCATAGTAAAATAGTCCATCATCTGCTCTTTCATAAATGACAAAAACTTTTGCTCGACATCTCTTTTTTTCCGAAAAATTTGGCGGATTTTCGTCACTTCCTATTCGAAAAACAAACTGTTTTTACAAAAAACCGAAAATCATTTTTCATTTTTCTCAGAACGTGGGTTCAACGACGTATCTCCAACAGAACTCTATCACAATAAGAGATAAAGTCAAACATTTTTTTTTTGTTTAAAAGCTTGTGTTTAGTGCTAGATCTTATCGTGACCCTTTTTTTGAAAAAAATCTTTTTATTTTCATATAAGAAAACATCTGTATAAAAACAGTGCCATGTTTTTAGGTTTTTTTTTGACTTATTAAAATTGTCATTCCTGTTCTTCGTTTAAAAAGCAAGAATTTTTAAAAACGACCGCGAGAGGAGCTAATATTAGACATAAGCTTGCAAACAAAAAAAATTTAAATGTATAAAATGAAGGCGCACAGAGAAGTTTTTGCATTACGATAAAGGTATTTTTTATCCTTGTTAGTCTATTGATCAAGACTAACCCCTGTTGCAAAAGTCTTCATACAAAATATTCGCTTAGTTTTGCGTTCTTTAAAAGTGAGTAGCGAAAGTTCAGAGCAGTTAGTAAGATTCGGAATTTTGCGATCTTTCCAAGTATTGATTCAAAAATCGTGTGTCTTGAGGGTGTGGGTCAGAGAATCAGTTCAGCTACATTCACATCCACTATACCTTCTCACGCACCCTCATCTACACCAACACTTCACACCTGTACCCACACCCACTCCCTGGCTTTCACTAGCAACTACACGTTGCCAACGATCATGCGAACTGCTTATGCAATGAGAAACATTGAATAAATGTAGCACATGTTATCTGGGTATGGATATGGGGTCTGAATGCGGATATTATTCGTCAAATCTGCCGAATCCGCATACGAAACACTATTACAAAGAGGTATGGGACAGTTAACAGTGGTGTTCATGGCGTAAAACATTCATGTTTACAACCGCAGAGAATTGAAAACAACATTCGAAATTAAAGTCTTACGTATTGCGACTTATGTTCGGATGCTACCCAGTGTCTTTATGCTATATCTCTGTATATCGCCGCTTACGGCTGTGCCTTTATTTTGACAAATGTTTTATAATAAATGCGATAAAACATGACAGTGCTGTCAGTACTCATTTACAGTTTGTGTATTTGAGGACATCCTACGATATGATTCACAGTTAGTTTGCAGTTGCAGTGTTTTTAGAATAATCATTAACTCCGATTTTTCACCTTCATTGTTTTTCTCAGTCTTAACGTACTACTGAGGAGTGGAGAGAGAGGGGCGGGGAAGGATAAAAATTTGGCAGAAAGTCAATTTTCTTATAATTCTTCATTCCTTCAGAAATCTTTTAAGTAGGGTAGCCATCTCCTCCGCTTTATCCCCTTTTTCCGCATTTTTTTCGCTGTTCCACTATTTTCTTCTTTTTGGTATAAAAACTTTTTTCATATGTCAAATTTGCTACAGAACAAAACCTGTTTTGATTGAATAAATCGTGATCACTGATGTGTAGAGTTTTCTATCATTCTTATTGATTGATCTGTTAACTCATTGTAACAACATTAAAAGTTTGTCTATGGAAGAGAGACTCTGCTCTCAATTCCTATTTGTGAAGCAAAAACACTGTTCCGTTTTCAATTGATAGTAGACGCTGTCTATCAGCTTATTATTCGTGCTTTGTTTAAACAGAAAAATCGTAAATCCGAAAACCTAAAACTTTTATGGTGATCAAGTGGTATTGAGATGGTAAATGAAGATGAAAAATATCATGAAAATATAATAGCAGTAAAGCTAATGCTACAATTAGGTGAAAATAATCACGTGAAAGCCATAGCCGATGCTTTTGGAAGAAAAATAAATAAGGTCGGTGTGTAGAAACTTCTCTCAGAAGATACCGTATCAACATCAACATCTACACGTGGGCACTCATTCCCCCACCTTACATGCACTTCTACGCCTAAACTCACATTATAGTATAAGTTTCTGCTATTTTCCGCATTTTTTAGACGAACTTTCTGCTTTTCAGGCTTCATGAGGTGGCAAATCTGCTTCTAAGAGCAATAAAAAATATCATGCTATTCAAAAACTAAAGTTACTTCGAAATATATTTAAACTTTAGAAAAAGACATATTGTACAAATTATTAAGCTTATAAAACAAAGAAACATACAATTATTTAAACTTATAAAATAAAGAAATATAAAAATATTTAAAGTTTCAACAAACAAAGAGTTTTCTTTATTCATCATCACTATCTTCTTGTTCTTCATCACTTACATATGTGTAACATATCTACTAATCGTTATGCCAAAGATGAAAGGGTTCGTTGAAATTTAAATTAGTTTGAATAAAATAAGTTCAATTCACTTCTACAAATCATATGTTCGTCATCGATGGATTCCATCAACTGGGATCACAAATAGAAAATGAGCGGCAAAGCAAAATGAAATTCGATAAAAATATAAGAAAAAGTAATTCATATGAATTATCTCCCAAAGAAAACTGTCTGGAAGTTGATTCTATGCAAGACTTCGACAGAAAATATATTCTGGACGGCCTATAGCTATTTTCTCAGTAACAGAAATAATAAAACTCAACTATTCGCGTTTTAGCACTAATCACTGAGTATGAATGAATTAGAAAAGAAAGGATGAAGAAATTCATCTACTTGCATTTTAATTATATATGAAATGTGCAAAAGTAAGAAAAGTCTTTTTGCGTAGAAAAATACAGAAAGGGAAAGTCCCTCATCCCCCTAATTGGCAAGCCTTTGTCTAACTAACAGGTTGACGGACATCTACGACCATGAATGATTGAGCTGAGAATCGAACACACATTTTTCCAAACTTCTACTCATTTCAATTGAACGAAAAAAAAAACTATTTACCAAATTATTGCAGCTGAATCAATCATTCAATTCTCCTTGACTTCACGATAAAATAAGCTACCTATTCAGTTTAAGAGCAAGATAAATTTATTACTTTTATGGTAGCTATGTTCGCATGTCCTCTTCGGTGTAAATATACTAAAAGACATCAAACCAAATTGTAAACAAACAAAGGATGTTATCTATATATTCACGATACTTTTTACAGATCATTTACTGATCAAATACATTACTGGTGTATTTCTTTTTTATCGCAACATTTCAATATATGATTTCAATCCTAGCTAGATTCGTCATAGGTCTGCCGCATATGTATCGACAAAAATATTTAACAGTGAATCAAATAGATTTCACAAGTTTTTCTAACAGCTAAACAAATACAAGATGTTAAACTATTGAATGGTATCTGTAGTGATCTTCAGAAAGTAACAATAGGAATCACATATGTCATACATACTTTTTATAACCCTTAATTATTACACGAGAAGTCGAATCAAATATTTGTCTTTAATAAAATGCCTCCATTGGTTACATTGTTACTTAGTGACGGAAGAAAAGTTTTTTAAAATAAATTGTGTCTTAAATAGGTGTGCTGCTAAAAATTTAGAAATATTTTTTTCATATCTTGTTTTGTTTTACCATATTAGTCAAATCAATAAAACAATACTAATCTTGCCTACGACAAAATATCATTGCACAAGGGGAACGTATGCCATTTTTAATTAATAGGTTTGGCCGTTTAGTAGATCGATTTTTTTTCAAATGCAACCTCTCATTTGAACCAGACTTTCAAAACTACGTTCATAAAAGAAACTTGATTATATACGAGAATTTATGTGAGTAACTTAAAAATTGAATGTCTCGGTAAAGGCGTGATACGGATAAATCACATTTTAAGTTTCTTTAGTTTCTCGATGAAAATAATAATTTGAGTTGAACATCGTTGATCATTTTAATTTACAATACAAACGATTTCATCGTTAGTAAAAACTCTGCATTGACATATACCTATGAATATAGAATATAAATAATCTATATTACATGTACACAATAAAACAAATGTCCTTTTCTTTCAAAGTACAATACGTCTCCTTCAATTGTGCTTTGTTGCTGTCAAAAAAAATCAGAATAGGACAAATTTCAAGCGATTTGATTGTTCTTCATACATGCATCACTAAACGTTACCAAATTTAAAGTTCAAATTAAATCACTTACATTTCATCAGTACTTTTATTTTTAAATGTATTTGCTTTTGTCCTTGGTATTCTTTTTTTGGTTGCATGTTACTAACGTTGATGTGTTTTCTTTTCTGTGGGACAAATTCTATAAGTAACAAATAGTTACCTTGTCGTTTCGAGTATTGTTGTTATTTTGAGACAAACATTAAATGAAATATGGGCTGCAAAGAGTCTCGTAATATCGTTACACCGTTTGTGATACAAAAAGGTTTGTATTAAAATAGAAGATGAGAATCAATTTTTTTCATCGTAATGAATGCGTTAACATACGATGATCACTGTTCTGCTTATATTGTGTTGAGTGAATCAATTTTGTAAATGTTGATATTCATTCTGTTTCCTAGTCATATGGACTAGATTTTTTAGAAAACAACTTGCACGCATCGTCTTTCTTTTGTACATAGTATCATTTTAAGTGCATGAGGACATTACTCGAAGAGAAAAAAAAGGTAGAAAAACGTCATTCTGATCTTTTTTTTTAGTTTCATTTTATTGTCCACATTCTTCTTCTTCTTCCTTAACGATCATTGATACATAGCTTTTGGCTTCAATAAATATTAGATTTTCCCTAAGAAAAATTCATTTTTAAAACTTTTTTAATATCCTGGGCAATATCAAGTTCGTATGATCTTTCATTTTATTTTATTTTTCAAATTTATTTTTCAATTTTAACTTCTATCAGATCATTGTCTCGCTTGAAAAAATAACAAATTGCACAGAACAATAAGATATTCTAAAAATTAGCTGCTATGTCAAATACTTTTTTGTCTTTTAGGTCCAAAACAACAAGATCTACGTGCACTTCTCAGTGTTCATCCAACTCGTTCACTATCATCCAAAAAAAAGTTTGTTATTTCAAATAAACTGAGATCAATTCGAAAATAATATATTCTTATGTCATTTTCATAGATTTAGATCTTTTCGCAAGGGGGAAACGGCGGACTTGAAGTAGAAAAGTAGGCCAAAGTACGTCAAAGTAGACTACTTGAAGTAGCTCAAAATACCACTCAAGTAGCCCAAAGTAGGAACAAGTAGCTTAAAGTAACTTCAAGTAACTTCAGGTAAATTTGAAGTTGAAAAGTACTTCAAAGTAAGCTACTTCAAGTAGCTGAAAGTAACTTGAAGTAGCTTAAAGTAGCTCAAAGTAACTTCAAGTCCAAAAGTCCGCCGTTTCCCCCTTGTCTTTTCGTCAATAGATAACTCAAGTATCTCGCAAAATGTTATATTGAACAAAAACTCTGATTATTCAAATTTTGAATTTAAAGGGATGATTTTCTACTTCAACTGTTTTCTAAGAAGATGAACACTTAGGATTGAAAAGATTATTTCTCATTTTTTGCATTTTTGAAGAGTAAGCGTACAGCGTATATATCTCAGAGAGTTTCTATCTTGTTGAGAGAATTTGCAAAAAAAAACGAACTGCATATACAAAGTAGACTAATTAGTTAAAACTTATCTTCAAGCAAAGCTTTTGAAATATTTTCCTAGTAGCTATAACTTAATTATTTAGAAATTGCCAGATCATGGAGAAAATGGTCATCTGAAACTGGTACGAGACAATCGTCTTGTTAAAAAAGAAGATTCGCCTTTACATGACGGCAATACACATCATACAAAATGTGATATATGTGACAAGTGGCCTATAATGGGTGACCGCTATAGATGTTTGGAATGTACGGATTTTGATGTATGCGGTGATTGTTTTGAGAAACGACGCGAAACCGAAAATCATAGAAGTGGACATGCTTTTGTACATTTTAAAGTACCTATGGAATTATTCGGTATGATGATTGATGATGTTGATACTGATGTGACGATAGAAAATTTAATACAATATTTTCAAAATGCCAAGCATCAAGGAGTTGCTTGTGACGGTTGTTCAGCCAAGTCAATTACAGGAATCCGATTCAAATGTGATACATGTCCTAGTTATGATTTGTGTTTGAAATGTATGAAAAAGAAAAAAGAAACACGTCATCATACAGCGAAACATCCACTTATTATCATGGATGAAAATAATTTGAAAGTCATCGAAACAAGCGATATTGAATTAGGTCACAAACTTGGTCAAGGCAATTTCGGTAAGATTCAGAAAAAAAAGTTTTTCTTTATAAAACAGTACTCTCATTTATTAAACTACAATTCGAGATGAATGCTGAGATAAAGAGCAAGAAAAATAAAAATTCAATCTACTTGACAGACTACAACAGTCGTATCGAGATTAGTACTCACTGAAACTCTGACTAGAAAATTCTGACTTCAATAAGTACAAAATGATTCTTTCGCATATGTTGAATAACTTGCTTTTATCTCAAGAATATCGATTTCATGATGCTGAGATGAAAACTAAAGAGATTATTATAACACAATACACAATTTTCTAGAAAGTTCTGACTGTTTTTTTGGAAGAAGGAACGGAAACGAGAACCAATGGCTGGAAATATTCAGAAGCTTATTTTCACATGTTATATATCCATTAGACAACTATGAACAACTAAAAAAGATTCTCTTCTAGTAAACATCGAGCGAGTTCAAAATCTAAATATTGACAAGTGTACTGAATTTCTCGACTTTCAATTTATTCCATGTCTATCATCTAGATATTTTATTTAAACTTAAAATGATCATCTATTATAGGTTCAGTATATCAAGCAAAATGGATTTCAAGAAATCAACAAGTTGCTTGCAAAGTATTCGATGTTTTACTCAATCCATTACTAATAGAAAGTTTTGTAAAAGAATTATCTGCATATAATGAATTATCAGGTGCATATATTCTTAAATTGTATGGTTTTGTTCATCATACACCTACAAATAGTAATGGTGGAGTACAATGCATGTTAATTATGGAATACATGAGTAAAGGAAGTTTGACAACGGTCATAGAAAAAGAAAAAATCTCCTATATAACAAAACTCAACATAGCTTTGAATATTGCTAGTGGAATGCGTAAATTACATGGACGTAAAATGATTCATCGTGATATTCGACCTGACAATATTCTCGTTAATGAAGATTATACAGCTAAAATAGGTGATCTAGGTATTGCATTTAGAATTGAAACTAAAGCTCAACAAATGGTCACAAATACTGGATGTATATCTTATATGCCACCAGAATTTTACCAACATAAATGTGATCAATCTCTTGATGTATTTACATTTGGTCTGACATTGTACTTCATGTTTACGGAGACTTCACATGTATATCAGAATGAAGGACATCAAATTATTTTAACAAAGAGGTGTCTTATTTTTCAAGAAATAATCGATCGATGCGTTCATCACGATCCTAAACAACGTCCATTAGCTACTGAACTTGAAGCTATATTTGCTCTATATAAACGAACGTTTGAAAAACATGCTGCAGCCAATAGTTTCAACTACAAAACTCAGCCGCTTACTAAGCAAAATCGATTCTTTTTCGATTTTTACAAATCTTTTCACACGAGAGACAAAGCAGCTATTGAAATTCAATATGCTCGTGCCAGAGCTAAATCTTATGATTTTACAGATTCAGATGCAATTAAATCTGCTGTTTTCGGAATGCTAATGAAAACTATACTCGAAAAAGAAGTAGAAGAACAACGAATGACTAATGAAGAAAGTAGTAACAAAGATGATGACGATTCTGATGCAGATGGTTATGAGTATTATGATGATTAAGCAGAAAACAAATAGGGCCTTGTCGACAAGAACTATGAACAGATTATTTTCTCTTGCACTATGCAACAATCAATATGTAGTTTACTTTATTTGTTAAAATAAAAAAAACACTTTTATAGTAATCAATCTCTGGCTTTCTGATTGTAAACAATGACATATTGATTGCTACAAGTGATTATTACTCTAAATAATTGTCATCGAGATACGTGTCCGATTTAAGAGCAAAATTATTAGGCAGTAGAATACTAGAAAAAGTCCATTGTTTATCTAATAGGCTTTTGGCTAACAATGCTTTCTGTTTTCAATAATGGAACTGAAAGAGCACTCAATGTAGTAAGAAAATCGTTACTTTGGCACTCAGGTGTGTTTATTGTGAACAGCGATTTTTTTAATCTATGTTAGAAATTTTAAATTCTAACGCGATAATGAACACACATTCTTCTTCATAAGCATTCAAAATGCAAATTTTGGTCGGCTTAAAACTGTTGTTGTCGATGGACCAGACATATCTGTTGAAGAACAGGAGAAGGCAAAACACAAGAACAGAAAATATCGGTTATTAATTTTACACAGAACTACATCTCCAACTGAAGATGTACAATCGGTGTAAGCTTCAGGCAATAAATTTCTCTCTTTACTGATATGATTAAACCTTTGTCAAAGGACAACATTGGATAATAAATTTTCATTGATACATACCTTCTATTCCAGTCTCATCGAGATCATGTTTCAAATTATGAATAAACTCATCATTTTTTCGTTCCAGTCAATGTATGAGAGACGTATTGTAGTTCGAACAAAACAACAAAAAAAATAAAACATCCAACCAAAAGCAACGCAAAACTACTTATCCAAAATATTCAATTTGGTGTATTGTAAGTTTCAGTAATAGATCAAAGTCCAAGTGTTGTTAAAGAAGTTAGATAGTTGACGAAGATTCAACGATAACTTTGTTGCTATTTTGGGTGATTTCATATTCTATATCAAAAGTATGTTATTTAGCATGCTACAAAAAACATTCACATTATGAATCTATTCATAGTTTTAATCGAAACGAAAGAGATTATTTTTTGAGAAGAATACCCGAAAAGCTCTAAATAAAAAACATGAGTAAGATAGATCGAAAGTTTTATTGATTATTATTGTTGCAACAATTTTATAAAAAAAATATTTGGAAATTTTGTATGCAACGTTTAAAGAACAAAATCGCATAATGTAAGCTAAATTTTATTTTCGCTTTTAGTGTCTTTACAGATGAACACAATATTAGAATTTTGTAGTATACTAATTAAAGACTTCATTTTGTTATTTGAATAATTTACATAATGATGTTATCTAATCGGTTTTTACAACGATACATTCATTATAGCATATTAAAAAATTATACGTAGTTGTTCTTCTTATGAAAGAGCAGCAAAAAGTATATACGAATACGAACAAACTAATTTTTTATTGAATTTTACAATAAATGAAACAGATGACTAAGGAGAAAAATGTGCATTTAATTAAGTATAGAGATCTAGAGCGTGTAAGTTATAATAAATCAATATTAATTTTAGCTTCTCTTTCAATAATGATATGTTACTCACCTGTTGAAATATCATTTCATAAAATCACAATGGTAAATATTAGCAATTGGTTGCAGAAAAATAATAAGTTTTTACCAGAACTTAGATAATTTACCTTGGAAAGTCACACTTTTACGACTTTTAGGTGAAGCTTTCCAATATGTTGACGATTTCGTTGTTTTTCTTTTCTCGGTTTTCGTTATGCAATTAATTTTCAAAAGTTTCAGATATTTTTATAGAATATCAAAAGACGCATCAAATCTAACGTATTAGGAATATTTCGAAAAGTTCATGCCACTATTGTTCACTTAATATTATCATAAGAATACTAAAAGAAAGAGATATATGAATTGAGACTTAATCAGAGTAAAAAATTAAGTAAACAACTTAACGATTTCATTATGTACTAAGTTGTAGTGCTTCTTCGACAAAGAAAATATTACTACATAGGAATAATAAAATAATAAGCAATCCGAAAAATTTTGGACCTACATTTACCTAGTAAAGCTCAAACTGTAATGAAAACGAGATACAGACATCAGTAATAATTGGACAAAGTCGATAGAAATTCAGTTAAAGAAAGGTGATTATCATAAGAATTACGTCATCATGACAAATGCAGTAGTTGTCAAAAGTCTCGCTATCAGAAAAAAACATACCTAAATACGATTCATTTTATTCTTAAATTTCGACGACCGATAAAGCACGATAAATCCTAATTGAACCCAAGCACTAATTGTAGTTTGATTGGCATTTATGCGATCTCACATTTAAGTATCATAGATAAAAATTTTATGATGCTTCACTACTTAGTAACCACATGTAGAATTTTATTTGTCAATAAAAGGATGGATATTAACGCTAAAAAGAAAACAGCATACGAGAACTGTCAAAAGAAAAAGCTGTTTTTTTGAGTTTCAAAAACAAAAACAGTGCTTTTTTTCTATAATCGTTGGATCAAGGTTGATTGATTGCGTGTTAGGACTTATCACTGAGGTGTTCGAGTTCTTTTTGTAGTAAAAATATCAGGCAAAAAAATTTATATTTTAGCACTTTCTATCTGAAAGTGGCACTTTTGATTACTACTGTAATTAAAAATTTTTTGACGGAAAGTATTCTCGATATGTGTGGTCGATTCAGAAACACAAATTGTCATATCTACTTACAGGTAAAGTGTTGAGTTGACTAAAGATTTTTTAGTCAAAGCCCAAAAATGGTACGAAAAGAAACATCCTGATCTATTGTTTCTGCATTTTTTTTTCTTATCTTATCAATGGAAAAAATAGTCAGACAATGATCCTTTGATTGAGTTTCTCAAAGAATCTGAGAACGTCTCTCAAACAAGTTGAGCTTTCTTAAAAAGTATCGATTTTCAATAAAAAAAAAACGGCACATTGAGCAAATGAAAAAGTGATCGATTTCACATATGATAATGGATTATTTTCTTTTGTGAGCAATTTAACAAGATTTATAAAATACAGAGCTTTGTAGAGTAAATTTTATTCTATCGATTGGTATAATTTGTTAAAGATTTCGGTCAATTTTTTATAATGAAAAATATCTAAAATAAAATCCATGATTTGTTAAAGATCAGTAATTTGAGTGAAAAAAAATCGAAGTATTACAAGGTTGTAAGCAGAAGTCATAAAAAAAGTCACTTTTCAGGGAAACTTTTCGCGCTTTTTTAACTTTCATTAAAAAAGTATCTTTTACTTGACTGACAATTAGATTTACTGCCAAGTCTTTGTATATGGTTCTAGAAGAAATACGTGTACACATCATTTTCTGTCGAATCTTTATTTTCATCTATTGCCTCGCTGTCATTGATCTCTTATTGAGAACATACTCTTTACCTGTCAACAGTTTAATTATTTTATGCTTTGTCTTTTATATGGTATGATCATCTTCCGATAATTTGTTATTCTACTTATGGGGTGATTATCGTTATACGTGCATATACACACGTAATTTCTTTTTTTTTTTTCGTCTGGTCTTTCTTTTATATTTTTTTCCTTCTTATTATTATTGTTGTTGAACCTATATACATCTTGACTCTTGTTTTCTTTTAATAAAACTGTATAACCAGTGTTAACATAAAGTGAATTGTTTTCAAGTGACAATATCGACCCACACTTAATGCTTTTCCTATATATTAAATACATCTGCTGCATTACTATAGAACGATGAAAGAAAAATATCTTTTTTATCGTTCGTCAATTGATGCACGTGTTTACATCCTCCACAATTTTACAACCGTTGAGAAAAAAGTTGGTTATTCATTACCTATGTGAAAAAAATAAGGAGAATAATCAGATTAAAATCGATTAAAAGTTCAAGAAAATATCGATTTTTCGCCACAGGAAATTGTAAAACCTTCAATCGATTTCCTTAGATTTTCATCGATTTTAATTGGATTATTCCCCTTATTTTTTTCATATGGGATATCTCCAAACTACTGTGACGTCGAAAAACAACAAAATACAACATTATATAATACACACTACTTGCAATAAGTAAATGACAGTATATTTTCTGTGTTTATAATCAGATTGCTGTTTGATCGTTCTTTTTCTTTTCAATAATAATATCGTGATAGGAAGACGTTAACATGAGTCAAAGTATACTATAGGCTTTCGAATTTTGTCTCTTTATATATATTAAAATATTCTATTTTTGTGATTTAGATAATGTCTTTTCTTCTTCTTCTTGTGATCAACTCTATCGTAATTATGTTATTGATAAGTGCAGTTTGTAATGGTGAAAAAAAAATCCGTACTCATAGTTTACAAAATCAAACGTAGTAGGACATAATTATGATTCGTAGTAGTCACAAATACGCCTTTGATCACGTCATTTTGTTTAATTGTTGGATCAAGTAATTTTTGAGTATTAAACTGGGTTTTTGGTTCTATATTTTATATACTTTTATTTTAAGATGCATTTGATTCATGTATAAACTAAAACTACTCATGTTGTAATAGTCTTGAGTCATAATATTCGTTTATTTTTTGACCTTATGAAAGCGTCATATAAAAACTAAAAATAGTTGATCTGAATCATTTTTGTCTTGTTTACAAGTATGTGTACAAATTTTTCATATGACGTTATATTTATTACCTACGAGAAAATTGTTTCAACTAATAAATCATTTTTGATTTAGGATTTCATATATAAAGTAGATCTCAGTAAGATATAAAATGTTTCACAAAGATAAATATTCTTAAACCTTCTTTTCAGAGTTAGAACCATTTTATTGAAGTTGTGGGTTATGACACAGTATGTATCATCCAATTAAATGACGGTATTTCAATCTGTGGTTTCGTTCACAGATAGATGTTCTTGTGACTAAGATGTTTTGAAAATTTTAGCTTGAAAGAATGTTTTCTTCATGAGATATTGAATTTTCAAAAATCTGAGATACTCACATCTTTC